TAGGTATATCGTTAGACATATATATGTGTGTATTCTAAATATTCTTTTTTTCCCATGTCTTTTTTCTTCCTCTCCTTTCTTCACCTCGTTCCCTTCCTCCTCTGTTCCCTCCCCTCCCTCCCCTCCTCATCCCTCCCCTCCCTCTACATCCCTCCCCTCCTCTTCCCTCCCCTCCTCCCTTTCCCTCCCCTTCCCTCTCCATCCCTTCCCCTCCCCTCCCTCCTCTTCCTCCTCATCCCCTCCCCTCCCTCCTCATCCCTCCCTTCCTCTCTCCATCCCTTCCTTTCCCTCCCCTCCCTCTCCCTCTCCATCCCTCCCTCCCTCCCTCCCTCCTCTCTCCATCCCTCCCACTCACTTCCTCTCCCCTTCTCTCCCTCCCTCCCTTCCTCCCCTACCCTCGCCTTCCATCTCTTCCCTCGTTCCCTTTCCGCTCCCTTCCCCCTCCCCTTCCCTCTCCATCACTCCCTCCCTTCCTCTCAATCCCTCCCCCCCCTCTCCATCCTCCCCTCCTTTCCCTCTCATCCCTCCCTCCTCTCCCCTCCCTTCCTCTCCTTCCTCCCCTCCCCTCCTCTTCCCTCCGTACCCTCCCCTCCTCTCTCCATCCCTCCCTCCCTCCTCTCTCCCCTCCCCTCCCCTCCCCTTCCCTCTCCATCCCTTCTCCCTCCCCTCTCCCCTTCCCTCTCCATCCTCCCTCCCCTCCTCTCCCCTCCCCTCTTCTCTGCCCTTGTCTCAGCGCACGACGACGACCTTGTAAGGTGGCAGCTTAATCAATCGCCATGAGCGCCCAGATGCCTCGGAAGGGAGCCTCGGTCAGGGCTCGAGATCGACCGGGTCGCCGCCGCCGGAGTCGTCACAATGCGTGTTTGTGCGGCGGTGGGGGCGGGGAGGGGGTGAAGGTGGATTTAGAGTAGGGGTGGGGGTGGAATGTGGGGGTTAGCGTGGAGATGGGCTGTCTGTGGGTATTCGTGTGGGAGCAGGTAGTGGGGGTGGGGGGTGGCGTATGGTGTGTGTGGGTGTCTGTGGGTGGAAGGGGGGTCGGGGCTCTTTGTGTGGGTATGCTTGTGGTTTGGTGTAATGCAATCTTGGTATCTCTGTCCCCGTCTCTCTCTGTCTCTGTCTCTCTCTCTCTCTCTCTCTCTCTCTCTCTCTCTCTCTCTCCTCTCTCTTCTCTCTCTCTCTCTCTCTCTCTCTCTCTCTCTCTCTCTCTCTCTCTCTCTCTCCTCTCTCTCTCTCTCTCTCTCTCTCTCTCTCTCTCTCTCTCTCTCTCTCTCTCTCTCTCTCTCTCTCTCTTCTCTCTCCTCTCTCTCTTCTCTCTCTCTCTCTCTCTCTCTCTTCTCTCTCTCTCTCTCTCTCTCTCTCTCTCTCTCTCTCTCTCTCTCTCTCTCTCTCTCTCTCTCTATCTATCTATCTATCTATCTATCTATCTATCTCTGTCTCTCTCTCCTCTCTCTCTCTCTCTCTCTCTCTCTTCTTCTTTCTCTCTCTCCTCTTTCTCTCTCTCTCTCTCCTCTCTCTCTCTCTCTCCTCTCTCTCTCTTCTCTCTTCTCTCTCTCTCCTCTCTCTCTCTCTCTCTCTTCTCTCTCTCTCTCTCTCTCTCTCTCTCTTCTTCCTCTCTCTCTCTCTCTCTCCTCTCTTTCTCTCTCTCCCTTTCCCTCTCTCCTTTTCTCTCTCTCCTCTCTCTCTCTCTCTCTCTCTCTCCTCTCTCTCTCTCTCTCTCTCTCTCTCTCTCTCTCTCTCTCTATCTCTCTCTCTCTCTCTTTCTCCTCTCTCTTCTCTCTTTCTCTCTCTCTCTTCTTCTCTCTCCTTCTTTTCTCTTTTTCTCTCTCTTTCTCTCTCTCTTTTCTCTCTCTACCTTAGTTCTCTCCTTTCTCTCTTATCGCGTTCCCTTCTCCTCCTTCCTTCTTCTTACTCTCTCTTCTCCTTTTCCTCCTGTCTCTCTTTCGTATCACCTTATCAGTTAGCCCATTAACCATTAAACCAAACACCAACAACAAGCAGAGATTAAGAAAGTAATGTATGTACGTGTGGGATGTGGACAGACTGTGTGTTGTGTTGTGTGTGTGTGTGCATGTATTTCTGTTTGTGTAGATGCATGTGTGCGTTTGTGCATGTATATTTGTGCGTGTTTTAATCAAAAGGAATTTGATACATGTTGTCAATTCTTAATTAATGGTAAATAATTTGCACGCATTTTGATTTCTCTTATTTTATTTTGAACGGTTAACTTGAACTAATATACTAACTAATATACTAACTACTAATTTATGGTAAATAATTTGCACGCATTTTGATTTCCCTTATTTTTTTAATAGGGTAACTAATAATACTACATTCTTGTTGTCCATGTCTACCTTGTCATTTATTAGTTCTCTTCTCTAGTTTTTCCCTATTTAGAAAGAAATAATAAAAAAGGGGGAGAAGGGGGAGAGAGAGAGAGAGGAGAGGAGAGAGAGAGAGAGAGAAGGAGAGAGAGAGAGAGAGAGGCGAGAGCGAGAGAGAGAGAGAGAGAGAGAGAGAGAGAAATAGTGAGAAATAGAAAGAGAGAGGGTAAGACAAAAAGAGAGACAGAAAAAAAAAGAAAACAGAGCCCGAAGAAGAAGAGAGAGAAAGAAAAACGGAAAGAAAGAAAAAGCCCAAGCTATAAAAGGCCAACAGAGACCTTGTAACAAACCAGTTAACAGGCTTATAGAGAATTGGAGGGAGGGGGGAGGGAAGGATGGAGAGGGGTGGCGGAGAAGAGGAGGAGACGGGGAATAGGATGGAGAAGGTGGAGGAGCGAAAGGAGAGGAACTGGGAGGGAGAGGGGAGTCGAGAGGTGGAGAAGGAGAGGAGGAAGTGGGGGGGTGAGGAGAGGAGGGAGTGGTGAAGGTAAAGAGAGGTGGAGGAGAGAGAGAGAGGAGGGGTAGGAACGAGATGAAGAGAGGGAAAAGAGAGAGAGGAGAGGAGGGATTAGATGAGAAGACGAAAGAGAGGTGACGAAATGAAGGGAGGAGAGGGGGAGAGGCCCTTCACATGCCCTCCTTGACTGCCGCCGAAGTGGCCGAGAGGCGAGGTCCCGGCGACACGGCCTCCCTCACTCGCACAATACGTGTCCCTCTGTCGCCTCCTGCCACTTAGGGGACTCAGCTGCGTCTCAGGCGGGAGGGGGAGGGGGCCCTGACGTTCCCTTGAGCCGCCGTTTCCTTCTTAGACTACCGGGGGTATCCTTTCCCCCCTACCCCCACCCCCACCCCTTAAATAAAGGGGGCAATTCCGCTTCACTCCAAGAGGATGCAAATTTCTCTCGTCGTAATTAGCTTAATTCGTGTGTATCAAGTTCGCGGAGGAAGAATAATTCTAAACGAAAAAAATAGGATAAAACTTATGATTAAAATAGTAGGAAAAATAAGAGCAAAGGGCAGAGGAAGGATATAAGACATACATGATATGCAAAGAACACACACATATATATATATATACATACGCACATACACACATACACACATACACACACAATATATATATATAGATATATATATATATATATATAATATATATTATATATGTGGTGTGTACGTGTGTGTGTGTGTGTGTGATGTGGGTGTGCTGTGTGTGTGTGTGTGTGTGTGTGTGTGTTGTGTGTGTGTTGTGTTGTGTGTGTATGTGTGTGTGTGTGTGTGTGTTTATGTGTTATGTGTGTGTGTGTGTTGAAATATATATATATAATATATATATATATATATATATATATATATATATATATATATATATATATATATATATTATATATACATATGTCCACCTTTCGAATTCGACCTCCCTTCACGCCATATCCACCTCTATGAATGGGCGTGGGCGCGGCGAGAAACCCGAGAGGCCGTGGCGCCCACTCGATCCGTCGCGGGGGATCCTCTGGCGCTGGTCACGTCACGGGATGATCGGCCTCGTCACGTACTTCTGGATGACCCCCTGTACCCTCCCTTCTACTGCCCCGCCGTGCGTCAGTCCTTCCCGTCATTTTTTTCTTTCTTTTTTTTATCTTCTACGTCTTCTTCTCCTTCTTCTTCTTCTTCTTCTCTCTCTCTCTCTCTCTCTCTCTCTCTCTCTCTCTCTCTCTTCTCTCTCTCTCTCTCTCTCTCTCTCTCTCTCTGTCTCTCTCTCTCTCTCTCCTCTCTCTCTCTCTCTCTTGCTCTCTCTCTCTCTCTCTCTCTCTCTCTCTCTCTCTCTCTCCTCTCTCTCTCTCTCTCTCTCTCTCTCTCTCTCTCTCTCTCTCTCCTCTCTCTCTCTCTCTCTCTCTCTCTCTCTCTCTCTCTCTCTCTCTCTCTCTCTCTTTCTCCCCTCCTCTCTCCCTCCCACCCTCTCTCTTGTCCCTCCATCTCTCTCCTCCCATCCCAGCCCTCTCCCCCTCCCAGTCCTGCCCCTTCCCCCCTCCCGTGTCCTTAGCATCCTTTGTCCTTCAGTTCCGTGTTCCTTCTCGTCTGCCTCCGAACTTTTTCTATCTCCCTCGCCTGCGTTCGTCGCGGATCCGCGTGGCGTTCGTGGCATCATCTGGAAGGCATGCTCAGAAGTTTCTTTCTTTTATTTTTTTTTCAGATTTTTCTTCCTTTATCTGTTTTTTAATCATTCTTTTCTTCTTATTATTATTATGAACCTTTCCTTCTTCTTTATTCTTACTTTCATTTTTATCATTCTTTTTTACTAATCCTTCTCTTTTCTTCCTAATTTCTTCCTTTCTATACATTTCATTTTTTCCTATCTATTCTTTCTCTCTTTATTTCTACGCCGTCACATAATTTTCTTGTATTTTATTATAACCGTTTCATCGTTTGACTACTTACTTCAGCCTGTTACATACTATTGGATGTCTTTCTTTCTTTCTTTCTTTCTTTCTTTCACTTGGCTAAGTACGTCATCTTTTTATTCTTT